TATTGTTGAAGTGGTTGAATGGTTCGTGCGCAATGATGAATCTTAAATTTGGGCGGTTTTGTAGGAAATTAGTTAACACAATGAGTCCATTATTTGTTACGCATAAATTATCAGTTGAGAGCGAAAAAGTCTCCAAAGTCAAGCGTCATGATCAACTGCACATTTGCATGGGAGGCTGTCCTCCCCAACAGTTACAAAATTATAGACAGAATCAAACATGTTGATGCATTTGGCACAAAAAGTGTTTTGAATTTGACTAAACCAAAAAAATATTTTTTTCGTTTTGGTACAAAAAACAAATATTACTTTTCCTTAAAGATGTACTATGGTTTCCATGTGACCCAAATCCACTTCCTCCAGGGCAAAATGCACAAAGTGAGGCATGAAGTTGGCACAAAATAAATAGCAAAGGTATTGCATGGAATTTCAAAAGATCTTTGTTCAAAAAGGCGGTAAGTATCGTAAATGCTTTTAGAAGATGAGTAGTCCCTGCGTCATCACCACGGGAAGTGGATCAGCCACTCTAACGAGTTGCGGCGTTGTCGAATGCACATTGTTGGATGCACATGTAAAATAAGGCGAATTCCTGAGTATATGAGATTAAATGAAGCTTTGAAGTGCAAAAAAGTCAAGTCACTTGATTTAAAGCAAACGCCAAGGCAAATCGTTGCTTTTCTTGTCAACCTAATGACTGTGCAATTTGTTAGAGCGAGGAGGAATTAAAATACTATTGAATTAACTTGTTTACGAGTTAGCCAATCGGCACCAACTTCTGAAAGTCATATAATATTTTAAGGTTGTGTTAAAATCTCAGTGCTGACCACAAGACGCTGCGCTTTACTGCTGTACCTCGCCCTGGTACAGCAGTACTTCGGTCAGTTCTCGTAGCCTTCAGCTCTTTCTTACATTGAAAATGTTGTCGTCATTCGTCCTCTGTGCAGCATTCAAGCCCGAAACTATGAAGGACTACTTCAAAGCTGAATCGACGAGCGGAGTTCAAGTCCATTGTTAGTCTATAGAGTACATTTTTTAATGTTGGATTTTGTTTTCAAGATGTAATTAACTGAAGAAATTGGAGCGTTGCCATGTGTTCACAGTCGACCGATTTCATGCTTGGCTGTGTGAGTCCTTTTGAAGTTGCGATTTGGCCCATTTGGCGTTCCTTTTGGTGGCAATAACTTTCTTCCTTTTTGGAGAAGGCTCATTACACATTTGGAGATAGTGGATGCTGACATAGTGATGCTCGCAAAAAAATCATATCTTTCCCCTTATCCATTTAGCTCAAACGTCGAACAAAAGGAGACGTGTAGAATGAGTTAGCGACGCTTCCAAAACAATTAGCAACTTAGTCTCTTCCTCAGCATCAATCTCTGTATGATGATCGAGAGTTAGGGACTTCTATCCCACCATTCACTCTCAACATGGCAGTTTTGACGGCTATTTGAGAACATGATTTGGACACGGAGTGTCATTTCGCATTGTTTGATCTGTAGGCGCATCATTTACACGCGCTTCTGTCAAGTGCTCCTACCCATGCTTACTCCTCCACCAGTTAGTAATGTTCCACCTTTAATGTGTCATTTCTCGGACAGCAAATCAGTTCCCGAAACGCTTAAAGAAGTGGCCTCATAAATCAAATCAACTGCCGTGAGCCCCTTTAAGTTGCGTTTAACTGTGACACAGGAAAAAAAGGACTGCAACGATATACATAGCTGTCCAAGGGGAGATTGCCGCATTTCCCAAAAGGGACATTGTCTCTAGAACGTTTACTCGCGACCGCTTTTTGTGGTGTCTTCCACAGAGCAAGTGGTGTTGAGGAATGCAATGTTCCACTCACAAGCTTCTTTGCATGTCAATCATGATTAACAGGAAAATCCTCTCTAACGCAAGGGCAACATCTTGTCCGAGACCAATCAAACAGATTGTTGCCTTCGAGCCTCTCTCCAGCAATCGTCAGATGCACTATGTGATTGCTAAGTGCAAAGACCAGTTCTTCGGTTGCTTTCCTAATTTCGCCTTACTCAGATGGTACCAAGATTGCTCGTTCCTCAGAGCAAAGTCCCTCGTGGATAGGACCGATTCAGAGTTCCCGAACTGTGTCCAATGAGTGAGTTGTGTTTTAAATCCGCTGATGACTTTTGTGACTATCGACATAGCCACCAGGATGGCAACCCCACTGTGGAGGCTGAAAACAGTGATGATGGAGGTACTACATACAAAACTTTGTTTTCAACTTCGTGGTACTTACCACCTTGGCTGCATCCGACTTGGTTGGCTGTAAACTAAGTTGATAATACCCAAGCCATACTTTGTGCTTCTACCATTGTCTCAAGTAGAGATCTCCGTCTGATCAAGTGGAGGGTGGACTTACTGCCTCATAACCCGGTGGACGATTTGTGACGATCCACTGGTTTGACGTTGTTTAGCCTCAATGACCTGCATCGCATGGTAGCCGAGTATGCCCGGAGAGGAGGAGTAATTGAAACTGCTAAATGCAGGTGATATCTCCCTGGCTAGACTACAAAGTCTGCCTTCCTTTATGTGGCTGCTCGTTACATTTGATTGAAGCCAATTTTTCGTCTTCTCTAAAATTAAAAGTCCGATGAGAGATAGTCGTTGATGCGTACTTGTAGGAGGGAACAGGAGAAAAGATTTTGCTACCTCTCCAAAACTGCAAGCCCGAGGGGGGCAATAATCAAAGGCGAGGAGAGGAGGAGAAGATGAAGGAGGAATAAAGCAGCAGATCGAGCTGCTAGAAGTGTGTAGAAGTCAAATTTGTTACTACGTAAAAAATAAAATTTTGGCAATCCCAATTTTCTCACGCAGATTTAATCGCCTCATTTTCGCACTCCGCTTGGTGAAGTTTACGAACAAGAATATTTTTATCGAAAAATTTTATTAATTTGTTATTTCATTACAACGTGATGATTGTGGTAGGGTTCACTCGTCCACCTCTGTCTCATTTTCTTTAAGAGCGCAGATGAGTCTCCCATCGGTCTTGGCTTTGTGTCTGCTAATCGTCGCCTGCCCCAAAGGAAAAGCCAAATGAACACACATGGCAATACCCTCCAGTTGAAAATGTTTAAGCTGCATGACTGAGATCTGCTGAGCTCCACTAGTTGAGCACAAACGGACATTTGCTGGAATGGGAGGGGCGTGAGCGAGGACACAACTTTTTATTTCATAACGAATTACGCAGAAATGATCCCATTGACTGATAAAATCGGAAATGTTTCCAGTGTATTGCATTTTAATAATTAAGTGACGCCTTTAATTAAGCCCAAAACTTACAGAATTGTTTCTTTTTTGGGCAAAGAATGAAGGTGTTTGAGGGATCGGAAGATATTGTGAGTGGCGGTAGCGTCGGCAAAGCCGAAATCTCCGCACTCTACTTAAGTCGGCAAAAGACTTCTCATTATTTCAATCATTACAGAGATATTTTGACTGTTAATTAATGACGTTGAGGGTACAATAACTCAAGTCATTTCCTATTTTTGGAAAATTGGGCCTTAGAACTCAGTATCACGAACCGATAGCCAATAACAGTCCATTGAATTTACAAAACTATTGTAGCCTTTAAAACAAGTCAAGCATATTCTGTGGCCTTTTTTAATCCAGACACAAGTCGACCGTAATTTTCACACCAATCAGACACATCTCCCTAAGAGACAAGGCGAAACCCAGTTCTGGACAGCACCTTTACCAGCTCCCAGTTCCTTTCCTAACCAATTGCTTTATTTTGTGTCATCGTCTTAAGCTGCTGGAAGGACTAGGATAGGTGTGAGGAGGGGAAAAAATACATACATAAAATGAGATACAATCTTAGCTTCTGCTCATCTCATCTCATGCCACTCTACCTCTCCATTCGATTTCACCCCATCTCATCCAATCAAATTCCAGGTCATCCCCACTCGCCCTAAAGTACAAATCTACTTTGCGAGGCAAGATTGAAGAACGTAGCGATCTACGTGAGGTCATGTTGAATGCCCTGTTGGCAAAACTTCCCCTCGACCGATGCGAGTTTTAAATGCACACCGTTTACTTGTACCCATGTGATTTTGGACTAAACGATGCAGGACTTTGAAGATGGAGGCATGAATGGATGTGGACAGATCGTCATGAATTTTGTCTTTAATGCTGCTTAACTTTCGAAAGGTGAATGATTAGTAGGCGCATCTCTGAAGTGTGAAGTGGCCAGTAGTTAAAACCATTTGAGAACAGTTAATGAAATCCCTTTAGAAGGCCTGCAAAAGCAGATCAGATAACACGTTTGCATGACACGCTTGGATGATGCTGGAGAACACTCTGATGGTCCTTCAATCTTAGTGTTGTAGAATATGTACGCCTGATGTGTGGGTTAAAACCATGTGCTTATTCTCCACCACTTGATGTAGATCCAAACCAACAAGTCACCAACAATAGCGGTCTCGTCTCAATGCATTAATGAGTAAGTAGTGCTTCACAGCCGCTTAGATTTGAGGCTTTCGTTCAACAAGTTGCATAAAGTGTCTCATGAGTTGTCCAACTTTTGAACCTGTCTCTGGGTAATGGGTTGTGATGTCGCTCGTCCCTCTTAATCTATGCAACATATCGAGTAAATACTTCAATGACCTTCGCATTGGGGCAAACTCAGACACTTGTGGTGAGGATCTCAGATCACATTTATCCCAGATTTCGCCAGTACCCCAGGCAGTGCAATCACAAAGTGGAAAGGAAACTACCTAAAGCTGTGCCATCAAAGTGACGTATATTTGCAGTTGATTTATAATTAGCTTGTCTTTCATGGGTCTCTGCAAACCTATCGTGATGTAAGAAAGCTATAAAGAGGCACTCTCCTAGGTGTTTTAGACAGCAGATCAGTTTCTGAGCTGGTGAAATTTGTGTGCTGCCCACCAAACTGACAAGCAAAAGTGACAGTGTGCAAAATCATGTGAAAGAAAAATACGCGTGTTACAAAAGACGAAAAGGTATCAGAAGGAGGGAGTTAATAAGAGAAAGTGCTATCTCCTGCTTCCGTTGGTGCATTCTACCGAGACCTGAAATTCGGACCGCGACTGTTCGCAAGTGATGCCTGTATTTTTCTCCTCCGAAAGCGAACGTCTAGGGTACCTCTCAAAGAGGCATGAGAATGGCGCGAGAAGCATCCGCCTCAGATAGGAGCGAAATTTTGGCCAGGTTATCAAATAGACAAAACAGTTGGTTGTGGAGTTAAGCAGGCTACCATTGTATGCCATTGCGGCTGTAATGTGTCTAGCAAGATAGACCAAACACCAGTCATTCCCTAGGGCGATAATCATACGAATTATTCCGTTGGGTAAAAAGGGTGTAATGAGGATAGTGAACGTAGCCAGTACGATCATGATGGTCCTGTGAATTCGTCTGTTCATCCGATCGAAGGCCATATTACGTTCCTTATCTTTGACCGACTGTGATTTTCTCCAATGCCTCAAACGACGCGCTTGTGTCAAGATCTTTACTGTGAAGGTTGTGAGCAGAATCAGAGGGAGAATGGTAAAGAAGAGTATGTCAGTAAAGGCATCGATTGAGAAGGATATAGTAGCTGCATTGCAATACCTTAGATCTTCAAAAATTATGATCAACAGTGTGGGGATGCGAACGATCACAGTGCTTATGATTGTACCGATTAAGGCTTGAATGGCCCACTTATCACCAGCTTTGCTCTTAAACGCCAATGGGTGACAGATGAGCACGAAACGCTCGAAAGCGATGAGTACAATGGTCCAATTGCGGAAAAGAGCAAAGAGATTGCTAAGTCCGTCAAAAATGAGGAGGTAAATGTTCTCATACACGCCTAGAGGGACAATAACTGCAACCAGACGTGAAATTGACAGCGTTGCTAAATAGATGGTGTCGACTATTGAATTCACGATGAGCAGTAGACGCGTAGTCTGCTGGGCAATGGGATAGCAGATGAAGAGAATGGTGCATAGTAGACTGGTAATAAGTCCAATGCATGTGATGGGGGTCCCAAAGACGGTGATAGAGATAAAGTGAATCTCTCGAGTTGCCTCGACAATTGACTTGGAGGAGGCCCAGGGAACAGTGCAGGTGGATAGAAGGCACTCTGGTGCAGGAAGTGTGTTGTTACAGGCCTCTTTTAGCATGTGGCGCTGACCCCTTTTCCGACACAAGGTATTGCTTAAACCGATTTCTTCAACCAATCACAAAGCGATGCTGTTGAATTCTTCTCTGATTGGCTACCGACTAAAATGTGGTTTCAAACATTTTGCCCATTTTTTATGTACTTAGACTATTCATTTACAAAAGATTATTGCAGGTCATGAGAATCTGAGGCTTATAGTTGTGAACTAGCAATATGTAGATAGGCCTGAATTGCAATTTACCTCCTACCGACTTATTTCAATAAACCTCCTTCGATGTTTCGAGACAGTGTACAGTTTTCATAGTCTTATAAACATTAATGGCTACACCATTTTAAAACAACCTTTCGAGGAGCACCTGTCAGTCAATGACACGGGTGGCCATTATATTAGCTGTATCCTACGAATACACGCAAATTTCCTCTACGTTACAAGATTAGATAAGTTAATTGTTTTATTCCTTTTAAAATTACACCATTGGACATCTCCTTGCAGTGATGTTAAATATGCTTCATCCATTATGCATGATTCAGTGAATAGAAGTTTTTTTTCCTCAATAAGGCAAACTAAGTTTGGTTTCGGATGTACCATGATAAGCTTGGGAAATTTTGGAGGAAAAAATCAAAAGGAAACATTCGACAGCACTGTTACCATGTAAGATAGGTGAAATACACTTTTTATAGAAATTGTGAGGATTAATGTAAAGACGAAAATTCGTCTTGACACCCCAAGTGGCTATAAGACCTAAGGAAAAGTGCTCCACTAACATTATCGTTTTAACGAAAGCGCAATCATGAGGGACTAAATACCCAAGAAACCGAAATGAGAGGTTCTGTGAGCTATCAGAGTGATGCATAGGCTTTTCCCTTCCCAAATTCCATTTGTCGACCTGTTTTTGCCATCGTAAAATAATCGGTGCTATAAGTCTGTTGTCAACCGATGGCGTCAATCGCAGATTTTGTGCGCATCTGTGCAGCTACATGAACATAACGCCACCGCTCTACGTTGACGATTCCACCGAAACCCATATTTACTTCCTACTAAGAGCTGTGTTGGGGAAGGGAAGATATGCCAGTCATCACATTTGTCTGTCGCCAATTGTTTGGTCATGGGACTAAATGCGGAGTCACGTAATAAAGGATGGGAATTAGAATGGGCTCGTAGGGACAATAGCTTACGCTTACTCTCTCGTACCACCTTGTTATCACCTCAATGCTATGCGATGTGAGAGGTACTGCGTTTGCATTTCATTAACATCCTCATACAGATTGTGTAGAGAGTCCTGCAATAAATCTATCAAAATAGATGACGGTCAGGACAGCCCAACTGAAAAAGCATGTCTTCAGAACACAGGAAATCTAAGTAATTGTCGATCAAAATCAGATTCATTACATGCTGTCAGCTCTTCCTAGAAAATAGTATTAGGATGGTGTGAATTCACAACAATACGACAAAAGTTATGCTACCGACGGACAGGAAAGACAGGTAACTATCGGTATGATTGGGAGAAACTTGAGTACTTGATAGTTTAACTGTTCGAACATTATGTCATTTTTTGATTACATAGACGTCTTATTCCGTTAAATGAAGGTGGAACCATGAGCAAAATTAAAGACGAACAATGACCGATGATTCCTCACTTATGCAAATCTAAGTCTGCAAAAGATATTCCGACTTGTTTGACATCAATTATCCCTTTTTAATGAATGTAAGAATCCTAAAGTTATTCGCACCCACTCTTATTAATGACGCCAAGTGATACCTTCCCGAAGTTCCATGGACCAAAAATCTTCTTCGCATCCGTTTGGAGTGAAATATAAGTGATTGTACAGCAGTTACCAAGGCACTTTGCCTATTTGTTTACCTAGCCTTCCCGGTTTTTATACCAATTAAATCTTCATCTTTGTGTTCCTGGTGCAGGCATGGAACTGAAAATTACCCAAGCAATCCTCCCATCTGGCTACACAACAACTCACATCTTAATCTGTTATGTTCTTTGAAATTCAGAAAGGATTTAAGGGAATGAATCACGCTAAAAATTTGTTCGTTTAATTAATTCTCCTTGCAAACGAATGAAACTCCCAAAAATAAATCCCCTCTGCTTCTTGCAATAAGCAAACAACACAACTGATCTCTTCCAGTATTGACGACGTGCACTTCATGCTCAAGATGAACGCATCTGTCTGCTTATGTCTGTTTCATTATGTTTACTTTTAAGTTTGCACAATTAACTATTCTGAGCAACCAGCTAATTATTCAAAACATGAATCCTTGACGCCGATTGCCTAAAAATGCGACGATTATTTGAAGTACATGCCGCTTGGATGTGTGACTAATGGGTTAATGCACGCTAAAAATAGGCTTCCAAAACACAAGCTACAATCAAATTGAGCCGAATTCGCGAACCTTTGAATGAGCATTATAAGCGCCCAGTAACATAAATGTAAAGATAGCAGCAAATTTTACTCAAATTAATGAATGATTGTGTCTCACCAAGCTAAAGAACTATAGTAGGATTAGCACAGTTGAAAATATAAGACTCAAGCTATTTTCAAAGTTCAGCCACCTGGATGACCTTCGGTAGTTTGGGTCATTTTATTGCTGTGAACAAAGATGCGTCTCGTGCGTTTTATGAGAAAGTGGTTTGTAGTTCTTCAAAGTTATTGGGCAAGAACCTGAAAATGTGCAATTAGAGACTGTTGCCAATCAGTAAAGACCGTTGCTGTAGGTTTACAAATGTGGCAAAATCATTTTGAATCCTAATTTCGCTCGTTTATTTTGAATTAGCAGCTATTTGTAGTAATGGATGATGAAAAAACAATGCCCCTGTTGGGCGAAGAGGATTTAATTAAATTTAGTCAAGGGAATAAAGTGGTTTTTACATTCCCGTCAGAGCATTTGAGATCGTTCACTTGTTACTCGAAACCACTCCTATGCTTACTTCTCTAGGTGATTTTGATAGCTTTATAAAAGTTGTGCATAGGATTTCCCGAATGGTCGACAAGGAAATATAAGAACATTATTATCTTAGAGTAATCTAGAAATTACTCATATTTCCATCACACGAAGATGGTGTGGTTGCATATACATCTTACTTCCTTCCTTCCTTCTGCCTTTTAGTCATTCTTTTAACTTGGAAGGCAAGTTGATCCAACGAAAATGAGGGACGGATTACTGTCAAATACACCCTGTGGAATATCCACGGTAGTGAAAACAATAAATTACCATGAACATTTTTGAACATTTATTATTTATTTTTAAAAAAATAATGAAGCTGCATACTTCCCACAAGCCTGTTTTCATTATTTTAACAATCATCACAAAAGTATTTTTAGTATGGGTTAACAAACATTAAGAAATGTGATGCAAGTTCGAGTTGAATTTAGAGAAATTACAAAACTCTTTACTCGTCTCGATTCTTGATATACCCTCTTATTATGCCGTATGAGTGCATTGCAACTAGTCCCTCGGAGTTTGATAGAAGAACTATTGGTAGGAAGAAACTTGGCTTTCCTAGGAATAGAATGCATTGGGCCTACTTGCATGGATGGGAACCAAACCACCCAGCGGAAGATCTAAGACGTAACCTTATGCCCGTATGCCTACAAGGAAGCTTTTAACAAAACCTACATGGAACATCTACTCATTTTGATTGTGCTCCTCGGCGCTCTTCTTGATGAGCCTCTTAATTAATCGTCACAAAGCAGTCACTGCTGTAAGAACGATGCATATCAATCACTTGAACCAGTTACTAAACTTGGATATTGTAAAGAAAGAGCTCAACCGAAACGATTCTGAACTCGCCTAAATTCTGGTGACACCGAAGTTTAAGTTTTGTTAAAGAATGCAGTAAGCAAAGGGGACGCATGAAGACCATTGCGAATACCAGGCCTTATGCGTAAGAACACCGGTCTGAAGGGCAGAAATGACCCATTGAAGAGATGCTCAATTACAATGTCACTCAAGGCGGCAGTGAACGACCTCGATGAACTTATTTAAAGGCCGATCCCATTTTGCCTCAAGCTATCACAACTTAAGAGAGCTATTTGTGGAAAGTTCATCTGGTTGCATGGAGTTGGACATTTAAAAGACAAGTGAGAACTTAGAGCAAGTGGATCATTTCAAATAAATTACAGGACTTCAACACAATTCAAGCTGCCATCCAAGAAGGAAGAAAACGCACTGTCTATGCACTATTCTCGCAGTAAAATGGGCAAGGTAGCTAAATGCTGTCAAAATGAAAGGGCTTTAGAAAATTCTTGCGTGTCAAGTGCCTACAAAGATTTTGGCTTGCTGGAACAAAAGCGACTGCACGCCAAAAATTGTGATTACTTAAGTCGATATCACCGCTTTTCAAAGTCTGCTTTCCCATTTAGGGTCCTTAAACGTATTTTGCCTTCCCCTGGGTACTTATTTACATTTACGCATAGACCTAGGATAGAGGTCCAAAAATGTACTTTATTTTGCGATTTGTATTTTGGTTTTTTGCCTTTCGCATCAAAAATTTGTACACTGTTGCCATCAAAGGCAGCATGACAGGTTCATTTCTCCCCTTTTTATCTTTCCAAATTAGGCGAGACATTTTCACTCAGATCGCCCACGAGTCGAGCTCACGGAGGTTTGGATTTGCTATTCTTTTAAACACAAAGCAATTAGGTTTACCCGGTCACGAGACGCATACAGCCTGAGAGGCGGCAAAATTCACTCGGTCCCACTTTTATAGCTGAGCGCATTAGACGTAGGGGAAGGATGCATCGTGGGTGTTGCAGGTAGCCTTCATCCAACGAAAGATTGGGTCACCCTCTCTTACGTTAAATTTTTTCCATCAGAGCGCATTTGTTCAAATGCTGCTTCTGCGAATCAAATAGGAGAATTTGCTATTTAGTTATAATTAGGACATGGAAGGGCAAAACTTGGATGATAAATGTATGTTGATTGGCCTACAAAGTTTTTTTTAGATTCTTTTAACTCCTCATTTCATTTTGTCTTAACTTACTCTTCAT